GCTTGGGGAGCGTGGGGGGGGGGGGGATACCATGGGGGGGGGGAGGGTCGGTGAACCGAGAACCAGGATCATATATATATATATATATATGTATGTGTGTGTGTGTGTTTTCTGAAACTGTGGCGAAAATATGCCTCGCACCACCACACCATATTGCGTCAATGCACCGTGTGGTGCCCGCATGCTAGGCTCCTGCGGTCTGGCATACACCGATATCCATGATGTCGGAGGATTTCGCAATTGCACCATGAGCCCGATCAGGCTTGTGCCGATCATTTCCCATGCAGGTACACCATCGTGCCAATCAAATGCTGTTTGGAGAGAAAAAACTCGGATCATGTCGTCATGCTAGGTGCAGCGCCTCTTGTGCAATTTGCTTGCACTCCTCACGCACCTAAGTTTGGCAGGAGTCGACAAGCGCTTGCCTATGGGTCCATGGCCCTAGGAGTATCATAACATGGCACGGCAAACCAAGATCAGCACCATCTTGGGCGGGCGGTCTTTCTTCCGCTTAGCCTCGGCAATGCTAGCCGAACGAGTTTTTCCTCAGGCTGTCTGAGAACCTGACGTGGTCCATGTGACAGTACTTGCAAGACCTGCGGTAGCAGTCCGGATGTAGATAGCGGATGCTAGTGATGTTTCTCATGGGTGTTGGGTTGTAGCCGTACCTGCCAGGGTGTGAATGGAAGCATGTTTACTTGGCATGGGGCTGGGCAATGTGAAGGGTCTGAACATGGCAGCAGTGCCTTCATGCCAAAAGGCATGGACCCACACCCGTTCCCGAAGCTCCGCAAGCACGAGGGCACGTGTGGACACAACAGTAGCTGGCTCTGCAGGGGTGCTTTAAACTTTGAACGCATTCGATGCTGCACCTAACAAGCAAAGCCCTTTCCACTGCTCATTGACCAGAACCGAATCAGCATTGCATCCCGCCAGGAGCACCGAAGCTTCGTGCCGCTGTTATTCGAATTCTCTAGGATTTCTCAAAACCCCAACCTCGAATCGTATTGGTTTGCGTCGAGAGCTTCGTTTCGACACATCACATATGCCGGAAGAGGACTTCAAGAAAGCTCTCAGGCTATTTTCTTCGCAATTTAAAACTCCCAGAGATGGCTCTGCAAGGAAACAAATGCACTGGAAACGACATCTCGCTGTGCCTGCCGAAATGGCATCCGGATTTGCTGAAGACATAGAAGCACGGCCGGCCTCAATTGGCGGAGGGTGCTGGGAAAGATCAGAGTGTCGCTTCAAAGTCCGAGAGATCAGAGAGAGAGAGAGAGAGAGAGTGGGTGGGAAAGGAACTGCAGCGCATGCTGATGATGGAGGCTCGCCCCGCCAATCGCACTACCGCTGACTAGTGACTAGTTCCATCCACACACCGGGTCGAACTGCTATGCCTGCTGTCAGAAATCCAACTGGATGCTGATGACTCTTGCCCTGCGATCGAAGACAGAGATTGAAAGGACATCCAGCTGCTGCTTCTGCTGATGATCGCCGTGGAAGGGAGACGGAAGCAAGGGAAGTGGAGCAGTTCGCAACGGCACAGCATCTAGGGAATCTAGGGTGCAGACATGTACCCTCGGCATGCCACAGGGATCCCACTGTGGGGATGTCTTCTGGCAGATCCGGCAGGTCCTTCATCACCACACAGGCTCAGAGGCTGTGCTCGCGAAGACAGGTATGAAAACCGCGCCTGCTCCGACGGATCGTGCCATGTGCTCGACATACCCGAGGATTGACCTGCAACACAGATAAATGCATGAGATAAACAGCAGCAGCAACAGCAACAGCAACAGCAACAAGTACAAGTGAGGCCTCCGTTCCCTATACACGAACACCACGTGAAACTGCACAGCTGGAGCCTCACAGCAACAGCATGCGTTATTTTCTGCCCGTCCTGCTCCTGAGCATTTCGGTGTCGGCAGCAAACGCGGAGACCTGTCATCCAGAAACGGAGCGATACAGAGAAAGACGAAACCGAAATCATAACACCAGACACCAAGGACAGGCCAAAACGACAATGAATCCCATGAACAGGCAGCTCTTTGTCTGGAGTCTGCAGCTTGTTTGATTCGACTGTTAGGTTCACACAGCGACGCAACCAACCAACAAAGCCTTGCAAGTTCACGACGCCCCTGAGTTTAACGTTGCCATCGTTCCAGTCAAGTCCAGAACGTACGCGTTGCTCTGATGTGCGTGCAGAAACAGGGTCGCGGTCACTGGCCAGCTCTTGAAAACGTTCCGAGAGGCATTGAAGGCCGTCCGGAAAAGCATGTAACGCAGTAGCAGCGAAACAGTTTCGCTCATCATGAACCAAAGTGCCGCAGTGCATCACGAGTTTCCCCTCTCACGTGCGAAATGTTTTGACTCTACCTTCTGAGTTATGAACAGAGACCCTGCTTATTGCTGAGTCTAACAATAGCCCCACGCGTGTGGGACGATACTCCGAGAGCTCTGCTCTGTTCGAACTGTTGTCAGGACCTTTCGGGGTGCGCCTCTGCAACAAGCCGAATCGCACAGTGTCGGAATCAACAGGATGTGGGTCATGCGCTAGGGATCACCCACATATTGGATTTATTATAGATATCACCTCGCACATGCACGGAACAGCAAAACCTACCTCAGATGGATGTCATTTAGGGCCCGGCGGTGGGAACGAAGAAGGCGCAGCCGCAATAGGCAGTTCTGGGTACGATGAGGGCACACTCCTTGACAGACAGGCAACACATCCAAGAAAATACCGTTTCCGACCTCTAGGCAGCCAAAGCCTTGACAGACAAGGAACCTGGCCATCACCGGCAGATAAGGCTGATTATAAGCTTGGGTGTAGGTCGGCACCTGCTCGAACATTCTCGCATCAGCGTGAGCATTGGGCTAAGCACGTCGCAACCTGAACCACGCCCATGACGCCCGGGGGCTGTTGCGGCACCTGCCATGCCGACCCGTTCAGGCATGCGGGGGATGCACCCCGTGCGATCTGTGTCCTCGTTGGCTTGCTGCTGCAGCAAGAGGTTTGCACGTTGAAGCTCAGCCTCGCCGAGCGTCAAAGATCTCTGCGTGGCGGACGGCAAGCTGGGGCTGCGACCATCAAATATGCATTTAATTCTCGACCTTGTTCGTAAGCACCACCTGCAACTGGTCCGACGAGGCGGCATCCGTGTCCACCCAGGTGACTGGGGTCAGGGCGCAGGACTTCAAGCTCTGTCTCCTGCCGTCTGATCCTTTCAAAGGCCATCTTGAGCTCCTTATCACATGGCCATGCACGAGTTGTATCCGAGTTTGTGATCAAGGCACTTTCAGTCAGATCGTGAGAGAGCGGCTGTCTGCAATCCTTCCAAACTCAGCCTGCACTGCTGGTCAGTGGTGATGCTCCAGACAACCAAAGAGGTCACAGCAGACAAGCCAAGACCGGCACGCACCCTTGCCCAGATCGGCCACCTCCCCACAGCCCGTGCACAGGTGGCGACTAGCGAAAAGGCCGAGGGGGCCTGAACCGGAGGGCCAGAATGGTGCTGCCCCTTGCCTGTCTGAGACGAGATGCTGGCAGCCCATACAGCCTCTCCTAACTCTGAGCTTGGAACATGCCATGATTGGCTGCACAGGGCATGGCGCACCAGACATTGCCGCATGTTTGGGCTACAGCATCTATAAACTACGGAAAAAGAGGCCGCTGCCTCTGAAAGCACATGCACGAAGGCGGCGATTGAATGACAAGGCACGACAAGGCTCAAGTGACGAGCACAAGCCGGGGCCTGTGTAGCTCCTGCCCAGTGATGGCAAGCAAAGGGCCAAACTATCCACGTTGGTGCCAATGCTTCTCTGCCGTGTTCTGCCTTCGTCGCTCGGCCCTCGATGGAAAGCACTTCCATCCTGTGTCCACATCCACTGACATGTGATGTGTTTCTCACCTGAAGGCAACACCAAGAAAGGTGCGCAGAACCGTCCTGACAGCGGAGAGTCTTGAGCGACTGTATCTCGTTTTCCAGTACCTGCAAGACAGCGTTTTAGTATACAAACTGTCTTGATGCGTTGCAACCATTGGCGATCTTTCGCAACTTCTAGAATTTGTACAATGAACATGTTTTCGCCCCAGGCTGCAACCCCCAGTGCCCAGGCTCATAGTTCGGCTCGTAGTATGCTTGCAATGCAAGTTCTAAATCTATGTGGTGGCGGTGGCAAAGGGTGAAAAAGGAGAAACGTGCCGGTGATTGACGCGCAACTTTGCAGAACCGTCAGGGCGCGGCTCCGGATCTTCACATATCAAGGGACACTCCGAATCGGGGCGCTCTGTGAGGCGGTAACGAGCTCCGTGCGGACACCCTACAGGAGCTGGTCAACCACGGCGAGAAGACAGCCCCGATTTCACTAGATGTCGCACGTGCTGATGAACGCACAGCATGTTGAAGAAAAGAAACGAACACAGGTTGAGAGACTCTTATGGTGAAAAATCAGCACAAGGTGTCGCTGCGAACTAGCACGAACCAGAACAGCAAAAGAGTCCGTCAGGGCAGTTTCGAAGGCTTGCAATCAAGCAAGTGAATCGAAGACAGCATTCCCCGTCACATCTCTTCTGAAACTGCAG